TTTATGTATCTTCCTTTTTAGTGTTCTACACTCATTCTTACTGAGTTTTATCCTAATTCTTAAAATACGTATGTGCTTAATAAAGCTTTAATCCTTAAGTACCTGGAGGACTGCAACCCTGATCCAGCACATTACGGAGGCAGGAGGCCGCTCTTGTGAACGCGTGTGGTGACGCCGCCCGAGGAATGGTGTCCAGAGGCGGGCTCGGGGCGGCGGGCGGGCGAGCACTGGCGTGTTCCGAGGTGGCCGCTGTCCACTGCGTTTCCCTGAAGTCTGCTCCTGGCAGACGTTTCCTCCGAGCCTGCTCCGTTGAATGGTAGGTACTCAGGACCTATTTTTAAACTTGCTTTCAGAGTCCCCAGGTAGAATTTCCAGGGACATTCTGTAATTTTCAAGGACATTTTTTCAGGAGACAAATTTTGGAATTAATATTTACAGAGAATGGCCCTGACTGGTATGGCTCAGTGGCTTGGTGCCATCCTACAAACCCAAGGGTTGCCGGTTCGATTCCTGATCAGGGTACATGCCTGGGTTGCCAGCCAGGTCTCTGCTCAGGCATGCGTGAGAGGCAGCTGATCAATGTTTCTCTCCCTCTCTCTCTCTTCCTCCCCTCCCCTCTCTCTTAAAATAAATAAATAAATAAAAGCTTAAAGAGAGATTTCTAGAGAATGGGAAAGTCATTTACATCTTCACAGACAATTTTCTGACCTGGCTCTGCCTTCCTTAGATCCTGCTGATCTCCCAGAATGGGAGGGAGGCAGGGCAGGAGGAGATGCCACGTGCCAGTGCATGTGGCTTCTCCACGATTGTGTGTCCTGGTGGGCAGTGAGAGTGTCGGGAGGGGTATTGGGTGCACCCAGGGGCCCCTGCTCAAAACTTTCTGCCCGAGTCTAATTTCCAAGGTAATTTGGTTGACGATCTCTTCTGGGATGGAAATATGTTTAATTGGGTTCGATACTGGTCACTGACCATTGGTGATGTTTCTGGGGCTTCCACAGATCCTTGGCTTCAGTAAGCTCACTGAACAGGGGGTGTAGGGGGCAGGTGGGGATACATGGTGTTTTTTTATATATTTTATTTATTTTTAGAGAGAGGGGAAGGGAAGGAGAAAGAGCGGAAGAGAAACGTCAATGTGTGGTTGCCTCTCGTGAGTCCCCTGCTGGGAACTGGCCCGAAACCCAGGCATGTGCCCTGACTGGGAATCGAACTGCGATACTCTGGTTCGCAGATCCGCACTCAATCCACTGAGCTACACCAGCCAGGGCCGGATACATGGCCTTTTATTTTTTCAGTCTCTTTGCTCTCACCTTCATTGTAGAAACTTTTCCCATTAGAATCTCTAGAACTGCAGTTTTCAAACTGTGGTCTGGGAGCTGGGGCTCCCAGTGTCCCTCGTGCCCGTTCGCAGTCGCTCACGGTTTCCGCTCTGTAGCTTGGCAAGCGGGTGGCGTGGGGTGGGGCCGAGCTGCTTCCAGGTGCGGGGAGAGGCCCGGCGGAGGTGGGGCTGTCGAGGTGAGGTCACTTGCTCCTTGTGGCCCCGGGTTTCATGTTGAACATCGTGTGGGGGTAAGCACACATGTTTTGTGTGGGCACACATGTTTTGTGAGGTTCATACACCTCTCTGTAGTTGGCCCAAACGGGGGGAGTCGAAGTTGGCCTCCAGGGTTGATCAGGCTGTGAGCTCTGGGCAGATAGACGTGCCAGTTTGCTGAGACCCTCTGGTGACTGGGACATCCTGCTGACGTGTGCGAGCTTGTGGCCTCGTGTGGCGCGGCGTGGAAGTCAGCAGCAGTGGTGGTGTGGGCTTGGGGGCCACGCGGGGTCACTTCTGTCCTCACTGGTCTGCCTTCGGCAGGAGTGCTGGGGACATGGTGGCACTACCCGAGCTGCCCATGTCCCTGTAGAGCTGTATTGGTACAGACGGGTGGCAAGCCAGACTCGGCCACAGGCCCTGGTGTGGTTCACAGTGACGAGGTCAGTTACCCGGGACCAGCAGGCTGGTCATGCTTTTGCCCTCCTTCATCTTACTTTTTCAGACTCTTGGGTGATTGGAAGTCGCGGCGAAGTGAGTGCGTCAGTGTGGCCCCACGTACTGACGTCAGACACAGTGTTTCGATACTGTCTTAAGTTACACCCCTTTTTTCAGCAGAAGAAAATCTTTTCTTTCACAGGCCCTTACTTTATACTATGAATGCTTGAGTGGGAATTTAAGCAAGACGAGAGGTATTGAGATATGTTCCTTTTTAATAGCTCAAACTGAAATCAAAGTGTGGGATTTGGGTGGCTAATCAGGAGACTAGTAGTAATGAATGAAAGTTGGATTCTTTTTTTAAAATATTTTATTTATTTATTTTTTGAGAGAGGGGAAGGGAAGGAGAAAGAGTGGGAGAGAAATATCAATGTATGGTTGCCTCTTATTCGTCCCCTGCTGGGAACTGGCCTGCAACCCAGGCATGTGCCCTGACTGGGAATCGAACCGCGATACTCTGGTTCACGGGCCCGCGCTCAATCCACTGAGCTACGTCAGCCAGGGCAGAAAGTTGGATTCTTTAAAACATCCTCATCCTCTTATTTGGATGGACTGTTCACTCACCTGATCACAAGTTAATTGATGCAATACCAGGTAGAAAAATGGTATTTTCAGTGAAATGAAACACTACCCTGCTGTTAGTGGCCAGACCTCTGCAGAGCCGCGGGAGTGCCCGTGCGTGATGCCGTGCAAGAAGAGCCGCCCGCCGGAGCTGCGCGCGTGGCCACAGGGGCGGTGGCCACAGGCAGACGCTCCCCTGGCTGGTGTCCGCGTGAGGGATTCGGGCCCCTGTTTTTATTGGTTTCAGGGAGTTTGTTTTATCTTAAGGTCAGATATGAAAGCAATTTTCAGTAGGGCTTTTTCAACCCTGGTGGGCTACCATGTAAAGGGAGAGTGACCATTTTATTTCCAAGCCTTTCGCTAACATTGGGTGCATCCATGGTGTGTCAGTAGTGTCCATGAGCAAGACGGTTTACAGGGACAGTGGGCTGTCTCTGCCCCGGGAACACACACGTGCATGTGTTCTGCGGTTCTCGCCTGGTCCCCGGTGAGCCATTGGAAGGCAGCGTTTCCTTAGTTCACTCCTGCACGTCAGGTCCTCTTGGCTCGCACCCCTTCGCTTCTGTTCCTTTCTCACCAAGGTGTCCCCTGGCGTCCCCCTCCCCCCACCGATTTGCTTTGTGTTCCCTCGCCTGGGCCCTCTGTGCATCTGGTGCCGGGCGCTCCTCTCAGTCCTGGTGGCTCCCAGAGGCCCCGGTTCCAAGTCTGTAAACCTTCGTGTTCCGGTCAAGACGACACACGTAACAGTAAACCCTGGACCAGTTCCAACGGGGAGCAGTCACCCTGTAAATCACAGCTGCCACCGTTGTCATTGTCATTGCATGTAACATTGTATCCTCTTCCTGGTTCGTTTCCCTCTAACAAACGAGCATGCTCACGCTTTCTCTTCCCTGAACCTCTCGGCTCACACTTCCTTGCCCCTGCAGTGCCGGCACGTTCCCCTCACTGCTCTGCCCTGCAGACCTGCGTCCTGCCTGCCGTCTAGCCCATCCTGCTGAGAGACCGCGCCGCCCCGAAGCCATGGCTTTCCCTTCCCTGCCGTCCTCCGCCTGTCCTGGGGTGGCTCCCTCTGTGTCTGTGACAAGGCAGGCCCGGCTTCCCTCAGATTCTTTGTGCCTTTCCTATTTGCTTCTCTGGCTTCACGCCCTCTTGTCAGCCCCCAAATGTGTGTGTTCCCCGAGGTTCTGCTGACCTTTCCTTCCCGCCCTATGCCCTCCTCAGTGACGTCCTGCTCCGGGGGCCTCAGAGGGCCTCCCCCACAGATGGCCACCGAGTGTGCAGCGCAGCCCGCCTTGCTGGTGCCCCTGAGCCAAAGGCACGCGTCCCTGTCCGCCGCCAGCCGCCCCCGGCTGCTCCAGCCACCACACGTTGGGGCCCTTTCAGCCGCACCACCCTGTCCATGTCTCACAGGAGCCCCTTCAACAGTTTTCTGTGGGTGCATCTGCAGAGAGCTGCCTGGAAAGAGATTCATCAAAACGTGTCAAGGCTTTACCTCTCCGTGGTGGGGTTTTATGTTGTTTGGATTGTTTTTATAATGGCATTTAGTATTTACATATTTGTGCCCACCCTGTAGTCTTACTTCTCAGCGGCGCTCGTCCTGAGCCCCCCACAGTGGGACTCCTGACCGTCTCATTTCACTCCTGCTTCTTGCCTCGGCTCCCCACTTGGTGCCGGTCGTTGCTCTGGGAACCTCCTGCGATCGTTTTTCAGGGCTCCCCACAAGCAAGCCTTCACCGGAGGCTGAACGCGCCTTCTCCTTCCAGGAGCTCTCCGGGCCCTGTGTCCCTTTCTGTGCTCTGCCCTCAGTCATCTTCCGTGGAGTTTTGTGTTGACTCCTTTGTTAGATTGTAAGCTCCACAGGGCAGAGACTGGGTCTTACTTGTCCTTTCCCACTCGTGGTTACAGTCTCCCGACTTTTCTTGGGGGGTGACCGCTTTTCCCACCGCCTGGGGTTCTGCAGGGATGGCCAGCGTCCTGTGGAGAGGGTGCTCTGTGCCTGGAGTTTGTCCTGAGGCATGGGATGCAAGGACTGACAGTGACCGGCACTGATCCCCCCGCCGTGGTGCTGTGAAGAAGCCGCCCATTAGCTCCCACCTCCCAGACCCTGGAGCTGCTCTGGTCCTGCACTCTCCCAGGCCTGGTCCTCAGATTTCCCTTCGCACCTGTGAGCGATTGCACATCTTCCCAACAACTGCCAGTCTCTCTCTCCGTCCCTCCATCCCTCCCTCCCTCCCTCCCTCCCTCCCTCTCTCCCTTTTTAAAAAATGTAAGATAGCCAGAAACAGTTTCTGTTGCTTCTACCCAAAGTTTTCTAATGGTAGAGCTGTTATGACCAGACTTAATCATTCTAGTTCTTTCACTGATTCTGACGTGCTTTCTTCTTCTTTTTAAAAACAACAAATCAAAACAGCCAGAGACCACTGCTGCTCTGAAAAGGACGCTCGGAGCCTTGATGGACAGAGGGGCGATAGTGAGGACCTTGGAAAACCTGGGCGAACGTGCGCTTCCCTACAGGATGTCCACCCACGGCCAGCGGCACAGCAGAGGAGGGTAAGCTCCGCGGCACAGCTCCGCAGTCAGGGTCCTGCCGGGGGGTGGGGGTTGCCCGGTGCTGGGCCAGGCGAAGGTGGGCCTCAGAGACGGAGGCGGTGGGCAGTGCCGGCCCCGATGGTGGGATCCGGGCGAGCACAGGCCGTGCCAGGGGCAGCTGCATTAGGGGCCTTCGATTGTGGGGAACTTCTTCCCGTCAACCTAAGTGTCGTTTTCCCAGGCACTTCTTTAACCTTGGCCTTGAAACTGCCTCGGTGAGCAGTGCGTTGATCCGTGCGTTGATCCCAGACTCAGCGCATTCTTTGTAGGTATGTACAATAACAAGCAAAATGTATAATGAGAACGTAATCCAACCTAATCTGGCCTAATCCACCTTTTCTTAAAAAAAGATTTCATTTATTTGTTTTTTAGAGAAAGGGGAAGGGAGGAAGAGAAGGAGCGAAACATCAATGTGTGGCTGCCTCTTGTGCGCCTCCTACTGGGCACTTGGCCCACATCCCAGACATGTGTCCTGACTGGGAATCGAACCGGCAACCCCTTTGGTTCGAAGACTGGTGCGGTGTCTACTGAACCACACCAGCCAGGGACAGCCTAATCCACCTTTACTCAACCAATCACAGTTTTTCGTGATGGAATTTTTTCTCATAGTATGCAGCAACTTCCGCAAATCATCTTTTATAGAAATTCTTTGAGACCAGTTTGTCGAGTTGGCACGATGGTTCTTGAAGCCCTGGTGGTGTCTTTTCTGTGCGCCTGGTTCCTGGTTGGGGGGAGAATCTCCTGTTGTCCGGCTTCCTGGGAGTGGGAGATGGGAGGGGGGGGTCTGTGGTTTCCGTGGCAAACAGGGCCCAGGAGGAGAACTCTCTGCAGTGGCAATGTGGCCTTGAGCTTGTCATGAAGCTTCTTTGGTGCCTGCGTCCTGGGATACTGACCTTGGGTGGTGATGGTCCCATCCACGTTGGTGCGGGGACCCCAGGAGATGCGCCGGGAGAGATGCTCCGTGACCCTCTGGGTGTCGCATGCCGTCATGCAGAGCCTGCGGTCCCCTGCAGGTGCGGTCCCGTGACAGGCCAGGTGGAGGCTCATGCCAAGACAGGCCCACACCGCCCGTCTTCTCTTCTGATGGCCTCACCTGGTTCCGTGCCAGTGATCTGCTCCCCAGAACACCTCGGAGGAGAGTGCCTCGGCGTTGCTAGGCAACGTGAAACACACAGCGTCTGTTTCTCTTCCAGAATCACAGTAACAGCAAGGGATAGAGGTTGTGTGTATCACATATTTTTTTATACAACTTACCCACAAAGGGGTTTGGCCTTAACAGCAAGGCTATGAACCCTTTTGTCTGTATGTTTAAAGAGGGCGGCCAGGGTCCCTGATGGAGAGCATGGGGGTGGGGGTGGGGGTGGGGGCAGTTGGTCTTCTGGCTGCCGCGTGCTCTCAGGGCTGCGCCTGCCTGTGTGGAGCGTGGGTGTGACCAGCGCTCCCCGCACGCTCTTCCCACTGGGCCTGGGTGCCGGGCCTGCTGCCGCTGCTGCCTGCGGACCTTACCCCGAGACCCTCTGCACTAACGAGGTTGGTCTTCAGGCCTCTGTGGACGAGCAGTGTGGTGCTCCTCTGCAGGCGGGACAGATTCAGATTCTGGAAAGTTACCTGGAGCCGGGCCAGAACGAAGCCTGTACTCCCGGGTCCTGACAAGGTACACGTGTCCCATGAGCTCTGGGCTGCTGGCGGCAGCTCGTCTGTACGTAAGGGGGTGTTTCTGCGCCTCTTTTCCCTCGGACTCCCCGGCAAAGGAGAAGCCGCACTCCTGAAGCGTGCGTGTGTGCCGCACGCGGACACGGGGGCACGGGGGCGGTGCCGGGCCCCCTTAGGGACCTTCCCGTTTTCAGCTGCATCAGTGTCAGCTGTTTATTTGGTTCGTAAGGTAACATTTTGCAAAGTATGGTCTGTGCCATGCTAGTCACACGCATGTGCTCCACCAAAAACTGCGGCATCTGTGTGGCCGGTCAGATGCGGGGTCACCGTCCCAGTCCACAGGAGGTGTGTGCCGTGGGTCACTTCGATGGGCCCCGGTCTGCGTCCCGAGGATGGGCTGTGAGAGCCAGTGAGCGGCTGGCTCTCGGCGCCTCGGTGCCCTCCGAGGACTCACCTTGCACGGTGGTGCTGCTGGCTCGGTGTGTCTGCTGCTTCCACACTTGATGGGGGGCGTGGTGTGGTCTGGTGCTGCTCCTGGGTCTCAGGGCAGTTCTTGTGATGCTGCGGTCGCTGATCTCAAGGAGTTTGCAAGTGAGTCAGGGACCTGGCCGGGTAGCTCAGTTGGTTCAAACGTCACCCTGATGTGCCAAGGTTGTAGGTTCAGTCCCTGGTCAGGGCACATACAAGAATCAACCAATGAATGAATGGGTCAGTGAGTGGAACAACAAATCAATGTCTCTCTCTCTCTCCCTCGCCCCCTCTCCCTTCCTTCTTCCCTCCCTTCCTCTCTCTGTCTGTAAAATCAATAAATAAAAATTAAAAAAAAAGAAAAGGCCAGGGGCCCAGCACAGCAGGGGCTGCCTGGCCCAGGCATCACCCAGGCCTTTCTGTTGCAGCCGCGTCCCGTCCTGTTGGGCTGTCTCTGCCCTTCTCCCACCTGCCCCTCCTTTCCCCACACGCACCCCTGCTACACACACCACAGCGGCCTGGGAGGGAGGTGCGGGCAGGGCAGCGCTGAGGTAGGGCAGCGCCTACTATCGCAGGGCGGGTACACCGAGAGGTGCCTGGTGGTTGTTACCACACCTGGTCTGTGTACGCAGCTTATGCAAAAAAAAAAAAAAGGCGGTCATTTTAGTGCAAATCTTAATGTGGTCAGTCCCCATGTCAGATTTGTTGTTTGTACCTGGGGACCAGTTTTGTCTTTGGAACAACTTACCGTGATGGTCAAGTTCTCAGGCGGATCCACAGAGACTTATTTCACTCCGTCTCTGGGAGCGGTAGAATCGGTCAGGGCGCTGTCCTGTGCACCAAAAGGTTGTGGGGTCGATTTCCAGTCAGGGCAGGTACCTAGGTTGCAGGTTGGATCCCTGGTCAGGGCACATGCGGGAGGCAGCTCATCGATGTTTTTTCTCTCTCTCACCCCTCCCCGCACTGAAATCAGTAAACAAATCCTCGGGTGAGGACTTAAAAAAGGTGCTGCTCTGTCTCACAGCCGGCAGCAGAGTGGAGGGCAGGGTGGTATTTCAGACCGCTGTCGCCAATCAAGACTGTTTTCCAGGAGCAGTCACTTGCCATGTCAGCTGTCCCCCCCGGTGATGTGACTTTGGGAGCACAGGAGTTGACCAGGTGCCCCTGTTGCCGTTTGGACCGGGCTGGGGTGCTGAGGACGCCTGGGTCCCTCGGACCAGCGTTCCAATGGAGGTCCCGGCCCTGCCCCACCTGCTGTCACCAGGCAGTGCCTGGAGCAGGACTTGGGGCTGCGGGTTCTTCTGAGGACTGGGGTTCCTCCTCAGCCCTGCATTTGCTGTGGTCTCTCGCAGGACCCCTAGGTTTTCTGTCCTTTGGACCTTCCCGTGCTCCCCGGACAACTTCATTAGTCTGCCGGAAGGGCGAGGTGTGGCGGAGCGTTCTCACCGCGCTCCTCAGAGTGTAAGGGGGCGGCGTGGCGGGTGCAGACGGGCCAGATGCTCACCGAGACCCTGCTGGGGTCCTGGAGGCAGTCACCCTGCCGGGAGCCCCTCAGTGTGGGACTCGGGCTGCACGTGCTGCTTCGGGGTCCTCTTCCCGCTGGATGTGGCTGGGCTGGGGCTGAGTGGTCGCCCGTGCAGGCGAAGGGACCGAGAGTCGGGGCCGGTGCGTGTGTGTGAGCGGATGCCCCAGGTGGGCTGCGGCTGTGTCTGCAGGTCGGGCCTGACTGCAGTGAGGCAGGGCTGCCTCCCAAGTGGGGAAGGCTGAGTGGGTACGAATAGTGAAGACCTGCTGGCCTGCATCTCAGACTCTTCTATTTATGGGTGTGCAGAGGGTGAAAATAACTGGGTCTGTGGTGCATCAGTGGAATTTTACTGACTCGCTCCCAAATAAGTCTGCATCTTACTCTGAGAGAGCTGGCACCCTCGCTGGGGGGGTTGACTCTCTTCTGTAGTTTTCCTGTGGGCGAGTGCGCCTGCCTGCCAGCATGAAGGCCGGGGGGCCGGCGGGCGCCGCTCTGCGTGTCGGACTCCACCATGGGCTTCCAGGGCAGCGCTGCAGTGGCCACGGCACCTTTGCAGTGGCAGCGGCCCACGATTTGTAAGGGTTCTGCACCAGGTTCAGTGACTGCTCACACGTGTGAGTCCTGGCAGGCGTCCAGAGAAACGGCGCTCTTGCACGCAGGGGGCCATGGTGGGGGGTCATCCACAGCCCCCGCAAAGCCCAGAGCCAGCCCGGGGTAGCCGACACAGTCAGGGAACTGGCACCCACGTGGGTCTGTTTGCCGTCTTCCAAAAGGCTCCCAGACGCTTTGGCCTCCAGCCCCTCCCCTCCTCCCCCCTCCCCCCCCCCACACTGAGCACTGAGTGCTTGCTCGCTGGAAATTTCCACTTGTCTGCTGGGGCTAGGGGAGGCTGTGTGTGAGAGTGTGAGACTGTGACAGACAGAGAACGTAACTCAAATCCAGGCAAGCGCTTTCTCTGGGAAACTTGTAAATACGGGGCTGAGACAAGTGAGATAAAAACCAAGTACAGCCTTTACACTTGGGGGCATTGCAGGAAGACACGTTTCCCCCCTGTGGTAGCACCCGAGGGGGCTGGCAGTCCTGGGCGGTCTGTGTGGTTTGTGTCTGACCGAGGGGTCGCGCCGCTGGGCCGGGGATTCATAGCGTGTGCGCAGGCAGCCCAGGGAGGCCATTTCTCCGGGTCCTTCAGGTCACTGCGTGGTTTCAGCCGTGGTGGTGGAGGGTGTGGTGGTTGGTACATCTAGGAAATGGGAATGTGGGTCAAGTTCTCGTTTCGGAGACCGCATGGGCACGCTCCACCTGTGAAGTGATTTGC